AAAAACTCTGCCTAACCAAACTCTGTGCTTAGAACACTCAGCTCCATCTTCCTAACGAGAATGATAATTTAGTACCAAATACTCACAAGGAATTATAGCTCTGCTGACTGGCAAATAATTTGCCAAGGCAGATTAGTTTAGCTGCATAAAATAAATATCCACCTGCACATAGTAGCACTAATCAGGGCGTGAAATTAAACTTTTTATTCAGTGGGAAATAACTGCTGCAAGGCGGCGATTTAGGCTAGGAAGCAAATATTAAGGTCAGCCTATTCTCTCTGATGTTTATAGTACATATAATAGTACAGAGAGCACGGTGCAAAAAAATTCTGCTTTTTAAGTCCTTGAAACTAAATACTTCAGCAATGTGATAGCAAATTTGCCATTTGCTTTTCTAATTGAACACATTTAATGAAGCAAAGTGGCTGAAATGAAACATGACCAGGGAAGCAAGGGTGAAGTTCCTGAAGCACCAACAGGGTGAGCTTAGAGCAGAAAAACCTGCAGCTCTGTGAGTTTGGGGCAGAAGGAAAGAAATCAGTGCCTTTATAAACACCGGTTCCTACAAATCCTCCAGCTGAGAGAACATTACTTGAGTTCTACTGGAGGAAAATATTAAGAGTACATTTAAAATTCAAGGAGGCTTTGCAACCCCACATTCGGGAAGTAACTGCTGTCCCAGCTGTTCTACAAAATTATTCTCACTGTTGGCATGCTACTCTTCCTTTGGCTACCCAAGATTCTACAACAAAGTTAGCACGACAAAAATACGTCAGTAGGAAGATGGTAAGGGTTCTAAACCAGAGCATAGCTAATGAGTCCCAGCTCTTCAAAATCCAAGTGCTGCTGATGCCATAAACCATACATGTTCTGTGCAAAGGGAACCTCTCTGACGTATTTGTTTTTGTCTACCTGTTCTGCATGTGTGTGAATATACATAGAGAGAGAGATGGAAAAGAGCAAGCCAGGGATTCCAAGGTTTGGTACCTTTCTGCCTTCAACTGACCACATGACCTGCCAGAAGCACCTGCAAGGATGTAATACCACAATAAAGGAACTTCAGCCAAAAAAAAAAGAACAAATTCATCTTAAAAGACATTGGTTTGTGCTCTTCTATGAAATAAGAAGGCAATCAGGACCTTCTAGAATCACAATGCCCAGAAAGAAAACACTAACGAGAGTTAAATGGAAAAAGAAATTCATGAAGAACACTGGTACCAACATCCTCCTATTCACAAGCCAGGAAATTAAATGAAGTACTGCAAATTGATTCACCCAGAGAAACTGAAAAGTGAAACTGCATTAAATACCAAGTTATTGCTTGCCAAACTATCCCAGATAGGATCCCACACCGGTCAGGTGCAGCTCCAAGCACTCCTAATTAAACACAACTGGAGTTGTCACAAGTCCATTCACACAAACAGATGTTACTTCATAGAGCCTTGATATTTTTTTTAAATACCTCTCAAAATGAGGAACAAAAAATATGAACTCTTATAAAAAGGGCTTTATTGTATTTTTATAGCATATTACATACCTTGTAACAATCATTCCGTTAAGTGTGAATGTCAGTTTTATTTTCTGTCCCTTTTTTCCTGGCTATTTACAAGCTTTGTAAGAATCGTTCCTTAATTAAGTCTAAACATAGTTTTATATAAATGGATTCCTGGAATTAAAAACGTTCAGACTTAAGAAATGATTGTTACAGAGACTGTAACAGGCCGTAAAAAAAGAATGCCACTTTAAACAAAGATTTCTCATTTTAATTAAAAAGATAATCATCAGAACATTCGTACACTTAACAGAACCATTTGAAGCTACTTTGAAAAAAATATCTACTATTCTACGCAGGCATATGTAGTTTACTTTATATGACATTTAATCAAAGTCTCAGTTGAGCCTATTGCACTCATGCTTTAAATACTGTATCTACAGTTGTAAACACTTCATTCAACTGTGGAAGTTACTTATCGAGCACCTCATTCCCAGTACTTCTGTAAATGGTTATGACAACACAAATCCCATATTCTTGAAGGAATAAAAGCAGAGCTCTATAAGGCACGTTTTTGTCGATGATGGTGGCTTTTTTAAGCTAATGGGCAGAGCTGTCTCTCAGTCTCTTAGAACTGCGCTCTTCATAAAGCGCAGTGCGTATCTCAAGGGTTTTAGAAACACGAAAAGGCACTGAGAAACCAAGGTGCCACTCCAACAAAACCCTTGGTGTAGCTGCAGAACACTGGGCTGTGTAATTTACAACACGGTCTTTTAAATCTATCAACTAGCTTTCACTCAAAAGAAGCTTTGAAAGATGACGTGTAGAAAGTGTGATAGAAAACACTCCTTCACCAGCAGATACAGCCCTCCCTGGTGAGCAGCTGCTCAGTATTGCATAATGCTCATCCACCACAGCTGAATATCAGGAATCAATTAGGCCTTCTTGAAACACAGAGGTAAACTGAGTAGGTGAATGATGTTAAATACATTACTTAAAGCTGAAAGTATCAGATGACACGTACGCTAGCTGAAAGCACACCTGGAAAACTGGTAGCAGATATTACCTGAATGCAACACTGTTTTATTGGCGAGTAACGGAGACAATAGCAGCCAGGGAGAACAATGAGATTTTAGTCTCACTGAAAAGTTACACACCAGCATACAGAACCTTGTCTTTCAAGGTAATGAATACAGACACATTAAAAAATAAATAGCCCCTTTTAAGGCAAGATAATGTCATTTATAAGGTTAGCACTGGATGAATTTTCCACGTGACATTTTTCTCTGAGTGTCAGACATGAAATCAGCAGGTCTGCCTTGCCTGATATCTCGTGACTCAGGAGCACTGCTCAAAGTCACTGCCAAAAATGAGGCACTGTCACGAAGTGGAAAAAGTATTATTTTCTAGAGAAGCCCAAAAATAACACCACCTACAGGGCTGCTTTTCAACACAAAATGAAACCCAACGCAAATTCACATTAGAAACAGAACCATCAAAAAAGCTGGAGAGATAATAGATCAAACACCTACAAAAGATATTTGAGTATTCACCTACAGTGAGATACCTCAGCACTGGGAAAGTCTCAGGGAAAAGTCACTAATTAACAGCAAAGCCCACCTCAACCCAAAGCACAGCCCTTCTGGGAAGGCAGCAGCACACAAAGTGCATCACACACTCAGATGACAGGGTAATATACTGTGAATGATTCAGCATTAGCTGAGGATCCACTACCTCCGTGCAGATGACTGTAGCAATGCCATTACTGCAGTACCTAAGCACTTTCTGAGTCCTGACAGACTGAAACAACAGGAGACTTCCCAGCAGCACCGAGCTGATATTTACAATGGGATCTCATTTATTGGAACAACCTACCTGCATATACCTCCACCAACAGCAAAAGGAGAACAGGGAAAGACCTCACTGAGTCTGACAAAAAGTCTTTGTCAATATAATTAAAATGATAGGACTACACAGATGCACGTCGAAGCAAAAGCTTGAGATGTGGTATAAACAAAAGCTTTTACCACTCTCAAGCCATACAAATATATGTATACCTATGAAGTTCAAGGGGATCAGAGGGAAGCTCCCTCTTTCACTGCAATTTTGCATGCATTTTGCTTTCAAGAGGCACTTTAATAAAACATTAAGGAACTTGGTTTAGCTTTTAGCTCTCAGCAAAGCCTGATCCTCAATAATTCTTCCCTTTATCTGGAGCCCTTACCACATGCAGCTCTCATAAGAGCAGCTCTCTCTCATGCTTATGTCTCTCTTCAGCATCAGGGAGCTTTATTGTTCAGGTGGCACGCTGCCAGCTGTGAGATGGGCAGGGATTCCCTCAGGTCCCAGGCCCAACTTTATGGAAGATCTCAAATGCCTGGAACTAAACTATTGCTTAGGAACTTTAGCACAGAATGACAAAAGGAGTGCATGAGGGCAGCACACAGAAACATCTGAGGATACAGAAGTCACTATGTAGACTAAGGCTGTCATCACCCAGCTTGGCCCAATGTGGGCACAGCAGGCTCAGCAACACTCCTCTGGCCAATTGCACGCCCAAGAAGGTGGTTTATTATTGCTAATTGCTACCTTTCCTTTTTAGATATCCACAGCATTTTCCCACTTCGCTGAGCAGAGACCCCATAAATCTGCCAGACTACAGGGCTAGCAGCAAAAAGGTCACCGAACCACAAGAGAAACAAGTTCTGCAGGATTAAAAAAGCAGAAGTCAAACAAATGTTGCAAAGCTCAGTTAAAAAGAAAACATTTGCAAGTAGCACTTCCTCGATTTCACTTGGGCATATGTTCTGAAGGTTTAACAAAATTGCTTCCTTCTGATGAGCTCACATTTAGGTCTGTAGGACTGGAAATACCAACCCAAAGTCAACTTTCACCAGGTGCTGCCAGGCATTTAGATGACATCCATAGGGAAAGGGCAGTTTCAGGCACACAACATTTACATTCCATTCAGACGGTACCAGTGTGTTTCCATTTCTAAGCTGCACGTTTCTAGCCTAAAAGGTTTAGAAATATCAACAACTCAAGTAAAAAAAAAAAAAAAAAAGAATTGAACTACAGCTGAAGTGTCTGAAGCCTCAAATCTAGGAACAAGCGCAGAGCATCTCGGATGCGAGCAGCCCCAGTCCTGCCTGCCATGCCCAAGGGCAGCCCACAGCCCAGGCCGCACACATCACCGTCACCGCAACGCAGCAGGAGGTGAGAGCGAGGTGTCAGTGCGCGGCCGTGCGGGCAGGGCGGAAGGGAAGACGGAACAAAGCTGCAGGGGGACGGGGCGCAGCACAGCCCAGCCTGAAGTACGCGAACGAAGGGCAAATCCCGAGATTCCCACGCGTACCGTCCCACCCCGCGGCCCCCCGCCCCGCACGGCCTCCCCTCCCCTCCCGACACGGGAACCCCCCCCCCCGCGGCCCACGGCACCCCGACCCGGCGCCGCCCCTCGCCCCCGCCCCGCACGCAGGTGCCCCCTCCGCTCCCCGCGGCCGCTCACCATGAACTTCAGGGCCTTCTCCTGCAGCACGGCCTCGGCCGGGTCCATAGCCGTGCGCGGGGCCGCGGCCGCCCCTCCTCGCAGTGCCAGGCCGCACCGAGCGCCGACGGGAACCTGCGCTGCCCCGCGCGCCCCCCCCCCCACGGCTCACCCCCGCCGCCGGCAAAGCGCATGCGCCGCCCGCGGGCCCACGGGAAATGGAGTCTCCCGCCGCGCCGCCGGCGAGGGCCTGAGGGTGAGAGAGAACTACAAATCCCAGAGGGCGGTGCGGCGGCGGGCATGCCGGGAGCCGGGTGGCGCACTCGCCGTCAGCGGGCAAGAGAGCTGCTGGGAGTTGTAGTACAGAGGGCCGTGTGACCTGAGGGCAGGGGCGGAAAGGAGGCCGCCGTTTGCGGGCGGGGAGAGCCCCTCTTCTGGGGACGTTCGGGCCGTTGTCTGCCCCAGGCCGCTCTCGGCGAGGTGAAAGGTCGTCTCCCTGCGCTGTTTCTAGTTAGCACCACGCGTGTGGCTCGTGAGAGGAGATCCCGAGCGCGCGTTCCCGACGCTGCGCTCCGTGCCCACGCAGCAGCGATTTCTGAGTCGCCTGCTCGCTGTAACGCAGCCCGTGCGCTGGCACGTCTCTGCATGCACTGACCAGGGGCTGTTGCCGCCCCTCAGCAGCACAGCACAACCTGCGGGGAATGGCAGCACAGGAGGGGATCGCACAGACTGGCTGTGCTCAAATCCCTCCGCAAAGTCACCTCCTCACATCGCCGGCTCCTCTTCCCTTGGCATAACGATGCTAAATCAATTTTTCTCTCAAAATGAGGCCAAACGCTCCTTACTTCACCAAGAAAGCAATCAGAAAGCACTGTCCAGTGGCCCTTCGGTAACAGCTGCACATGGAGGAGGGTGTTTGTCGCAGCCCCCCGCGTCCCTCCTCCATAATCCCCTCCATGCACACCAAGTCAGAGCAGCCCACTCTTTGGCAGCCATCACCACTAATCCTCTCCATTTTGTTAATTTTGTCTGATCTCTTCCCAATTTGCCTGCATTTCTTACAGCCTGCCCAAAAGCTGAAGCTACTTTACGTGGAGCAGCAGAGAGGGATTGCTTCCTTTATTTTACCTTTCCCTATAGCAAGCACGAATTCCTACGCAGTTTGTGATCCCAATTCTTCTCCTTGCTGCTTTTCTATACATGACCCTGCACCTTAAGAAGTTTACCCCGAGTTTCTTCCAAGTTAGATGCAAGAAAGCCAGCAACAAACATCAACTGCCTCTTGCCAACATTCAGCTTAAACCCATTCCTTCTGTTCCCGTGCTGGAGCGATACAGTGAAGCTCCAAGCTGCAAGTACACTGCCAGCATCTCCTGCACACCAACCCTGCCCTTCATTTTCTCTGAACACCTCATCTCCAGGTTTCTAAACAAGATAATCAGAGAGAACACAGTGCATAGAAAATGCCCATTACTGCATTCCTTGCAGGGACACCTGAGCTGGGTGGTGCCAGGCTGAGATGCTGGAGGAACTGTGCCCCCAGATGAGCAGCATGGGAGATGGTCGTAAGATAACCTCATGTCCTCTGGATCTCAAGGACAGAAATCTTCCAGAAAAAGCTTTTGGGTCACCAGGATGTGAGCTGTTATTCTTGGCCTATCCCAGCCACGCTCTGGGTCACTGTACTCAGCACTGAAATGCTTGGCTGTAATAGGCCTGGGCATTTTCCAGAATGCTGACAGTGCTGAAAACCCTTACCACAATTATGTAAATAACAGTAATTATAACGAGAGTCCTATAATTGCAAAGGGATGGCTCCTGTAACAGTATTGCAGGCAACTGAGGGCCACAAGTACTGGGAGCACAGCTCTCCTGCTTCTTCCTGTAACCATAGTGGGATAAGAGAGGATCCCCTCAGCAGCAGCTTGGTGGCTTAGGGCTTTGATGATACGTTCTGTCAATAATGTTTGATGCTGGCCTAATTGTAGGAAAACTAGGAAGTGTAATAATGCAGCACCAGACACCACTGTCCCAATGTCCTCTGGGGTGATTGATATATGTAGTCTTTAACTTAAAGGTAAGTTCTCAGGATCATAAAAAGCACAGGTCCATAGTGGAGCCAAAACTGTAATGGCTTGTTAAGAACCTTGGTAGAAAAAGAGACCAGCTCAGTTCACCTCAGAAGAACTTTGTGGATCCACAATACAGGACAGAACAGAGGGAGAAGACAGATCTGTGTGCACCCCAGGGCAGCCCACAGAAACAGTGTACCAAGGAAGGAGTTGGATTTACAACAAGTTAAATAACAATTTGTTTGGATTGCAAGAACCCAGGACTGGACACGTGGTCAGTTCTGCCTCTACCACAGCAGAACTACACCAGCAACTCCTCTTAATCTCTCTTGAAACAGCAACCATACACTCCCTTCCTGCAATCCCCATCCTTTCTGCAAAGTGTGTTGCACAAAGCCAGCCACACACCGCACAGGGAGCTCCCAGTCCTTCCAGATGAAGGATGCTACCTAACAGTAAAGATATTACTGTGATTATTTTTGCACTAGCATATTGCTCTGTGCATTCCGGGCTCTGCGGACCACATCCACGCCTGGTGTAACGCCATGTTAATTTGCTGTGGCAATCATTAATTGGGTAAGGAACAGCTGGTGCTTTGCTTTAAGTGAAGCTGATTGGGTCAGTAAGTAACTGTTTGGGTAAATGATGTACAGCAGGTAAAGCCTTGCCTCTGTCTGCACTCCAGAGGGGTTTCACTTCTTGTCCCAGTGACCCTTGGAGGAAGCAGTACGATTTGGCCATGAAACATTGGGGAACTATAATCAGTACAGTTCCTCTGGGCATTTTTGCCTGAATTTTAATATTTTGAATAATAAAGAATGATTTTAAATTAAATTTGTGGGCTCACCATCTGTGTGTGCTTGGCCTTGTTTTTCGCTGCTTTGGCAGTCCCTTGACTTTGTTCTTTCCAAGTTGCAGCAAAAAGGAAGGGAACAAGAGGTCTGGTGCTCTCCCCTCTTTTTCCCTTTGTCCTGCAGCAACCGGTGTTGCCCAGCACTGAGCACACCAGTGGGAGGTAGGCAGAACCCAGTGGGATAAAAGCTGCTGAGCGCAGGCAGGAATGCCCATATCTAGAAAGCAGCACAGCTGAGTGTCCTCCTAGTCCTGCTCAACTTCTCCAGTGCATCCCACCCATGCAGGATGGCTGTGTGCTTCGTGCAGGGACTAGTTGGACAGTACCTAGGAATCTTAGGGGCAGGATGCCTCCCTACAGCCTAGAACTAAAGGAGATAGGCAGTCATTTTTGCAAGAGGAAGAGCAGAGAGCCCAAGATCATGTGGCATGATTTACGTTCACTACGTGGCTTGAACAAGGCAATACCCATCATTTGCATCCCCTCTCCTGTCTCTGCCCAGTCACGTGCTTCTCATCCTCTGCCAGTTCTGATGCTCATTTGCTAGCACAGTGAACTGTTTTATTTGCTATAGTGGCAGAAGAATGATAATCAGGACATACCAATGAAGCAGTTGTTGGTTGCTGAGTCAAACCTACTCTCCTAGCCCCTAAACAAATAGCAGAGCTACTGTGAGGGTAAGGAGGTACTGTTCTCCAGGGCAGGGGGGATGAGCCCAGTCCTCCCCAGCAATGGGCAGCTGCTAATTACACAGGAAATGGGTGAAAAACCACACATCTTTACAGCACCAGGGTCTCCTGGCTTCCACCACAGGGTGCCAACCTTATGCCAGGTCTTGAGCACAGACCTGGAGGACTCCTGCTCCCCCAAGGATGCATCCTCCAGTGGCTGCAGCATCTTCTGGCATCCTGTCCTTGGGACAGCAGTGATGATGAGGTCACCTGGTCCTTGGCAAAGGCGAGAGCATCATCATGGGCTCAGCATCACTGCCTGGATGGTGGGGAAAGGGGGAAAAAGATTTATTCTTACAGGAATAATAAAAAAAAAAAAAAAACCAAACCACCAACCAAACCTGACCCAACAGAACAAAACCAACCCCAACAAGTATCTCACAGCCAGAAAAGCCTTTTAAAGCCTCATGAATATTTAGCTTGTCCTCATGTAAAATATATGACTTTGTGTAAGGATCAGGCAAAGGAGGTGCATGATTTTTTTCTGATTTATGGGCCCAGCAACGGATTATTCATAGCAGAGCAGCTGTGTGGAAAGATTCATCCACTGCAAAATGTGATTGTACATCAGGCAGTGTGAGGGAACAGAGCTATGACTAATGGCTACTTTACATATAAATGAGAAGGTTGGCGCTAGGAACTGTAAAAAGAAAAAAAATACAATCGCTCAGCTGACGGACCCAAGCTCTTACTGCAAGCACTGCACAGGGGCCTGGAGAAGACAGAAGAAGGCTGCCTGGAGGCACTGCCTCCCCTCATATCCTCCACCAGGCCATAAATAAGGCAACAGCAGTCGAGGCATCCGAAGGCCAGATTTGTTGCTGGTGTCAACACACGGGCTGCAGGAGAGAGCAGGAGCAGGGATGTGCCCCCTGGTTGGGCTGGGGCAGACCCAGCCATGCCCGAAGGCTGAGGGCAATGCTATGGGGTGCTCAGCACAGCCCCACGCCCCTCCCACCTGCAGTCCCTCCAGCCACATTGTCTAGACGCTGCAGATGTGGACAGATGTTGGGGCTGTAATTTATAACAATGGCCTCCAGAAGGCAATTCTAATTTGTTTCGCTAAAGCTTTAAGTTACAGGCAGCAAGATCTCCTGTAAATACTCTTGACTTACTCAGTAAGTACGTAAGAGTTAGCCTGGCAAATGCCTGTGATCACTGCTTTCCTTGTGCCTCATAGTTCTTGGGGGTGACATTATAATCCACAGGTCCAAAAGCCATTGTGCACTGACAAGAGGCTCAGCAGGTCTCAAACAACCCAAGTAACTGACTAACAGGGTTCAGAGGTTGCTTCTCTACCATCATTCACCTGCTTAAGTGAGAGGGGATGCTTCCAGTGAGACACCCAGCTTCCAGCTCTCACATGATGCCTTCATCACAGGGAACATCCCAGCAATTCGTTACCTGAAGGTCCATTTGAAAAAGCAAACTTGGAGCTCTTTAAGAGATTCCCAAGAGGGAACCTTCTCCCAAGGCAACATGACTCTCACAGGAG